AAAAACTCTGTCTGCCCGCCCTATCTTGTATATAAGCTTTGCTATTCTGTGACTATTGCGCACACTCCTGCAGACTATCCTATACTCTGTGAGACCTGTGCCTTCGAGGCGCCTCGAATAAAGAACCAGAAAGACAACTCTGTTTGTTTCACCAGTTTATTGATTGATCATTCTAATTGTTTATCTCCACAGTATTGACTAGGTCTAAGATTTCCATAACACGTGTCTCTCTCTGTAACTTGAATGCAGACTGATCAATGTTAGATGAAATAAATATTAAAGTTGGCTATGATCGACTAATTTGACCCACTGAAAGCTGTATTTTTACATTTACTTGACTCAGTTCCATGGAACCCAATACCTAGTAACTACTACTTAACTAGTTTCAGTTAATACAGCATTTTATTTCTTAAACGATACCTTTGGAGTGAGGAGGGTTCTGGCTCGGGGGAAGTGGATGAAGACATCTCTTCCCTCTCAGGCACTTGTGAAACTTGTTGTCTGCTTCTGTCCGTCTGAGCGGAGAAAACAAACTGTTACCATCTTCTGATGTTAAAGTCTTTATTGTCATTAGTGGAAAACACGTCTGTTAGTAAAGGCTGAATGTTTTGCCTGTGGTATTGCTGCATGCACATTTGAGGTAGTGCTTCATTTTCTAAAGCTTCTTTTTCCATCCTGCATTTTAGTTTAAATCAAACAAAGACCAACCTACTGTATGCAGGCGCAACAGTCTCGCACAACACTGTGCTTTTGTTTGAGCCCTGTATGTCAACAAGTAAAGCTGAGCAAAACTGTTCAAATTGAAAATGTTCAGTAAAAGTTTTTTTTTTAAAGTTTTGTTTCTGGAATGAAATCAAATAAAAAGAGATGTGTCTCACTTGTCCAGTATATTAATACAATGCTGTTTTCATTTTGTATCAACGGGTCACATGGCATGGAAAATGGAAACGGAAATGATCTTCTATTCAAATGTTTCTGTAAAGTTTGATAAGCAGTTACAGGAAAAGCATTTGATTGGCAAAGAAATGCTTAGATCTCAAGCTCTTCCCATCAGTGCTCAAACAAATATGTATAATAGTAGATAACGTAAGTAAACATTTGAATTTAAGACATAAAATAGTGCAGAGGCTTAAGTAAATTAAAATAAATCTGCTAAACAGATGTACAGTAATTTCAATATATATATATATATATAAAAATAAAATAATGTTGAGTAACCTTACCTGCATGGTGAGAGGGTCTAAACTCCTCTGGAGAAACAAAGAGACAGAACAGTTAGGTGGAACAAATGTAAAAGTAAAAGTAATGGCTAGAAATGGCTTTTTGCATTTGATTAGTTTTAGGCTTATCATAACAGAACTTTATAGGCCAGTTTTTCAAAGTTACACGGAGAATATACAAACAAAACACAATACATATAGAGAAAAAGAAAATGTATTGAAAATGTTCTGACTCACCAGATTTGGGTCTGAGACCCGCCCAAGCAGGGGCTGGCGGTTGTCTTGTCCAACAGAAAAATGCAACTGGTCGATTGGATTTAAGTCAGTGTTTATTTTAATATCACCTTTCTCCAGCCCCTGCTTTGGAAATGTTTTTAATTTTCCTTTTACTCCTTCTCTTCTTTTTTCAGAACGGGTCTTGTATTTACTATCCATTTGTTTTCAAAGAAACTGTATGAAGTGGCTGCTTATAAACCCTCCCTTAGCCAATCGTTGTGGCCAATCTTTGGTCGCCATGCCCAGTTTGCTTACGTATGCAGATGCGTGGGAGCCGGATGTTTCTTATAGGTTTTCACTTTCGTTTTTCTTCAAAAGTTGTGGACAATGAAAAGTTTCCTGCATCCCAAGGGGCAAAGGCAAAGCAGACAATCGACATACCGTACATTTTATTTATTTATTTATGTAAATGTATTTCTCTTTCAAAGCACTCACTTATAGTATGTTAACTTCCTGCCAGTAACTGATACAACTTGTTTTCAGAGCTGGAAGAAGTACTCAGATTGTGTTTTTAATTAAAAGTAGAAGAACCAGAGTGTAGGAATACTCTGTTACAAATAAAAGTCCTGCATTCAAAATGTTATTCAAGTAAAAGTACAAAAATGTTAGCATCAAAATATACTTAAGTATCAAAAGTAAAAGTACTTTAGATTTGCCAATTTCAGAGTAATAAATGATATGTTTTTATTATAATAACCCTTATCCTTAATAACCAACCGATCTGTTTGGTATTTAGAGTCAAACACTTCAGAGACATGTTTTGTGTATATCTGAGACCTATAATATATTGATGAAAAACAGAATAGGGGACCTTTAAGTGTTGATTATATTTCACATTATTAATCCAAATCTGTCAAGTAACTAAAGGTATTGAATAAGTGTAGTGGAGTAAAAGTACAAGATTTCTGGGGTCGGCAACCCCTGGCACGCGTGCCAGCATTGGCATGCGGCACCGTAACCAGTGGCACACTATGAATAAGTGGAATAAGTGTGCAAAAATATTTAAATTGTATTTTCGGATCCTGAACGAGACCGCCGCCAGAGCGCGTCTCCCCGTGACCTGCAAAAGGAAGCCATGCACGCAACGCAGCCCCGCTCTCTTTAACTCCAGGTGACTTTCTGCCGCTTTCCTCCGTGGTGCAGTGCTGATCATTTCACCACGGAGGAAAGCACTTCACTAATTGCAGTACCCATAAGGAGCTGTACAAATGCCGCAGTTTTTGCGTGGCTGTGTATTTAGTTGAAAGCCCAGGGGCGATCTGCTCATCTCTCATCGAAATAATATGCTACAAAGGGGCGGACTGGCCATCTGTGTGTTGAACTTTCCTGTCGGCTCCCAGACCGTAGTCGAGGAGGGCAGAAGCAACAAGCTTCAGGTTCAATAACCCACTTTAGCTTAAATGACTGGAGAGAGACGAGCTCTTCTTGGGAGGCCCTTGCATTTATTTAGCTTCAATCAAGAGAGACGTGATGTAT